TGATTCTTTGAACTGCTTCGCATGAGTCGTTTAAGAATTATTTAGAAATGAGGTAAAATTAAATCTATTTTTTGAGAATACTAACGTGTTTTTTGACCTTGCATGCATGTAAACCTGTTTTAGGAGATTCATAAAACAATATTAGCAACCTTAAAAATGGCATAATAGGGGCACTTTAAGAGGCTCAGAAGAACTAAACAGAATATGGTCAATTTTTTGAAATTGAGATTTATACATCATCTGAAAGCTGAATAAATAAGCTTTCCATTGATGTATGGTTTGTTAGGATAGTACAGTATTTGGCTGAGATTCAACTATTTGAAAATCTGGAATCTGAGGATGCAAAAAAATCTAAATACTGAGAAAATCGCCGTTAAAGCTGTCCAAATGAAGTTCTTAGCAATGCATATTACTAATCAAAAATTAAGCTTTGATATATTTACGGTAGGAAATTTACAAAATATCTTCATGGAACATGATCTTTACTTAATATCCTAAGCTTTCCATTGATGTATGGTTTGTTAGGATAGGACAATATTTGGCCGAGATACAACTTTTTGAAAATCTGGAATCTGAGGGTGAAATTAAGTTCAAATGTTCTTAGCAATGCATATTACTAATCATAAATTAAGTTTTAATATATTTACGGTAGGAAATTTACAAAATATCTTCATGGAACATGATCTTTACTTAATATCCTAATGATTTTTGGCATAAAAGAAAAATCGATAATTTTGACCCATACAATGTATTTTTGGCTATTGCTACAAATATACCCAAGCGACTTAATTCTGGTTTTGTGGTCCAGGGTTACATATGTGCTGAAATAAGGAGAAAAGCTTAAGATGCTTGACCTTCTGCAAACTGTGGAGTAAAAATTACGAATCTCACAAATCGTTATGCAAAGGTTGTGACCATTTGTGCATTATCTGTGGTTTTAGTCTAAGAGGAATTAGTCAGGTTTTAAGTAGCTGTATTGCGTACAAAGACATTTAAAATATTTTGTTGGTTTGTGTGCAGGATTTTTTCCATGTGGTTTATTTTTCTGCAGGGTTCTGGCTGGTGTGGGCCATCATCTTCATCCTGAGCTGCTGTTGTGTCTGTCATCATCGTCGCACCAAACACAGACTGCAACAACAACAACGACAGCACGAGATCAACCTCATTGCCTACAGAGAGGTTCACAACTACACCTCACTGCCCTTCTACTTCAGTAATGTCATCCTTCTTATTTAAAGTTGTTTTATTGATTCTTTTAGCAGAAACCCTGGAAAATAAGGGAATTTAAAACCTAGAGTAATAATAATAAAATAAAATTGACTTGAAAAGTAATTTCAAAATAGTTAGGAAAGTCATCAATATGCTTTTATATTTATACTAGAAGAAATATTTAATTTGCTAGATAATATTTATATTGTGAGTGCTTGTGTAGAGTGGCAATCAAATGGCTTATAAAAATTGGGGTTGTCAGTAAAAACATTTAAACTAGTTAAATACATAATGTGATTTAATTGAATTAATCACATATATTCTCAGTTGATATGACTTAATATTAACAGTTAATATTAGTATATCTCTGTGTAACTTTTAACACATCTCTTTGAACTGCACTAACAAAATGTCCTGTAAATATAGCAACTTAGTATGTGTTTGGTTTTCTCAGAAGGATTTATTTGATGGTCTTGACTAGGGTTGGGCGATGTCTACCAAATTGGCATCGGACGATGTCTACAGTGAAACATCGTGATGGACGATGACATTAGGGGCGGGGTTAGGGGTGTGCCCGAAGCGTGAAACAAATAACGCGTTATGGAGCCACTAAAAGGTTAGCCGTTTGCTAGCGGTAGCCTGGCACGGAACTGGGATGCGGTGGATTGCGGGAGAGGAATCACGATGTCAGCTTAACATCGTGATGTCTGTCAGCCATCGGCGATGGACGATGGCATCGTCTATCGGCCCAACCCTAGTCTTGACCTGGTTGTGCTGAAAGATGAGATTAACATACACCTACACCTCCTACTCTGCACCTTCTGCCTTTTGTTTGTTTACTTTCAGTGAGAGCACGTGTGAAACACAGTCTTATCAAACATTTAGTTTGAGTTTTTTTCATGCCGTGGGATGGCATGGTTTGATCAAAGTCCTTATTTAAGGCATGTCAGTTCATGTGCCGAACATCTTGATTTTCTGTGTAGGCAGTAGGCATGCAAATACAACTGCTGTCGTCTTCAAATCTTCAATGTTTGTTTGTCAAGATTATAGTAGCATGCTAAACCAGCACAAATTTAGTTAATATACAGTTAATTTACAATACTCTTATAGTCAGTAGTCTTATTTTTATAGCATTAAGCAGACTGAAATCACTTTAAGAACAAACCTTAAAGGCAGGGTAAGCGGAGTAAGGGATTTCTGGTAGCCAATGTTTATATTTGAAATCACCAAAACAAACATGCCCCTACCCCAAAAGGGTCTTGCCCCTATTTTGATAGCTCCGCCCCACATATATGTACGCAACCCAGGCAACGATTAGTTCTGTGAAACAAAGCAAAACCAATGTTACACCGTGTCTACGGACGTGAGTGGCGCGGCGCAACAAATCCCGACAGAAAACTGCTGCCGGGTTCTATTTATGATGTGCTGACACACATTTCAAATGGTTTTCAGCGGTCGTTTGATCGCGTCCAGTGTAGGCAGAGCTGTTGTAGACACGGTGTTACTCACCTATTGAGAAGAAACAAAGCAACCTCGGCGTCCGATCGCAGGCCTCCGCTCCTTGAGTTCTCTCCAGCACTGGAAAGCTGATCCAATATTTTACACGGGTCCTACTTCTTGCCTTATCTTTCCGCAGACGTTTTCCTCTTTTGTTTTTTATCCGCCATCTCTATCTTTCTGTCGCTCGGCTCGGCTAATGTCCGTCCCATGCACTGAAAGCTCTCTCCTCCACATCACGAGTAGACACGCTCCTTATTGCTGATTGGCTACAAGTTTGTTTTGCTATTCGGCCCGAATCAGTTTTCTAAAGTGTTTTTGAAAAATTACATACCCTACCTTTAAGGACTGTGTGGGCAACTAATGTCAAAATTAATATTATGAGTAATATCAGTATTCCTGTTCTCAGTGAAAACTCTTGTCATTCATGAACGGTCAAGAACTGGTTGTGATCAAAACAAAGGTAAACAACACAAGTGCACAATGATATTTGTATGACGACAACCGCTATAATTACTTGTCTTAGATGCAGAAAGTTATATTAAAATTGTATATACACTTCTGTTCAAAAGTTTGGGATTAGTAAGTTTTTAGTCATGTTTTGAAATAAGTCTCTTCTGCTCACCATTGCTGCATTTATTTGATCATAATACAGGAAAAACATTGCGATTAGAAAGTTTTAATTTTTTTCTAACAAATTTTTAAAAAACAGTTTTGTTTTTTTTAGTTTTATTTATTTTTTTAAATGTAATTTATTCCTATGATGCAAAGCTGAATTTTCAGCTGCTGTGTGTACATTAATGAGGAAAAAAATTAACTTAAATGATTTTAGCAAATGGCTGCAATATAACAAAGAGTGAAAAATTTAAGGGGGTCTGAATACTTTCCATACCCACTGTATGTATGTGTGTGTGTGTGTATATATATATATAGTGAAATATATATATATACACACCTTGCTACGTCCATTGCTGCATTTATTTGATCATAATACAGGAAAAACATTGCGATTAGAAATTTTAAATTTTTTTCTAACAAATTTTTAAAAAACAGTTTTTTTTTTTTTTAGTTTTATTTATTTTTTTAAATGTAATTTATTCCTATGATGCAAAGCTGAATTTTCAGCAGCCGTTACATGTCATACGATCCTTCAGAAATCATTCTAATTTGCTGATTTGCTGCTCAAGATACATTTATTATTATTATCAGTGTTGAAAACAGTGCTGCCGCTTCATATTTCTGTGGAAACCATAGGATCCTTTGATGAATAGAATGTTCAAAAGAGCAGCGTTTATTTAAAATAGAAATCTTGTGTAACATATCTTTACTTTCACGTTTGTCAACTTATTGTGTCCTTGCTGAATAAAAATATTATTATTATTATTTTTGTGAATTAAAAAAATATCTTACTAACCACAAACCTCTGAACAGAAGTGTAGATCAGAAAGAGAGAAAAAAAACCATGGATAAATAGAATTACAGGATTTTTGTACAATGTCTGTTTTTTTTGTTTATTATTGTAAATGAATAAATATAGACACATTTCAGTGAGTCAGAGTACACTGTACTGTACAGCCATAGTTGTAGTCTAATCTAATCCAGATATCTAAAAACTAAAGACCCGCAGGTCATGCTGAGAGCACATCACATTATGATAGCTACATCAGTTGTTATTGTTCAGAGTTATTTTCCTTATCATAATATTGCTTTTTATTATTTAATCTTGAGATAGTGTCATAAAAATGCTTGCTTACAAAAGTTTTCAGTACCTGAAACTGAATTGTATACCGTTCTAGCTGAAGATGCATTACCTGCCCTATAGAAGAGATGTAGAGCTTCACTGATTACAGCGGCTGACTGTTAAATAACTGCATTTTCTTGGTTTCATGTTGTTTTTGGGTGGTTCTGAGAATGGTTGACCTCCTGTTCAGAGACCATTGTAGATTTTTACTGTACTGTACTGTATTAATCTTGCTGCTGCAAGATTAATCTTTAATGAACCGAAAAGAACGCATGTCACACCTCTGTTCATCAATTTGCACTGGCTACCAGTAGCACCTACCTTGCTACGTGTACTGCGTTAGGCTAACCGAGACTTGTCTGTTGCTCTTTTGTTAGTTTTGACTGCTTTTATTGTCCTCATTTGTAAGTCGCTTTGGATAAAAGCGTCTGCTAAATGACTAAATAAATAAAATAAAATAAATACTGACCTGTGACCACTAGTCCACAGTGAATGTTGTGAGAGAGGATTTTGGTCTGGTGGTTTTCACTGTTGCAGTATCACTCCAAAACTCTGTAACTAAGTGGGTTTATAATGTTATTATGAATATAGCATACCTTCAGAATGAAACAAACTGCAGTGACCCATATTTTTTCCAAATATTTTAAATAAATCCTTATTAAATTATATTGATCAGTCTTCAGCCAGACACTTTAATCAAATCATGTTAATTACATAATTTAAAAATACAAGAGTTATACAGTTTGTATTCCATAATTATTGGTACAGCCACCCGACCTCACAGCCATGATGAAATGTCCATTCAGTCTTCGTCATTTAGCTTAACATTTAACCAAAACCAGAGAGAGAACAGATATGTTTAATGTAACAAATGTCCTGGTCAAAACTGAACATTCTGTGATGAGGTGCATCTGTTTACATCAGCCATGGATCAAGTACAGCTCACAAAATCTGATGAATCGCTCTGATTGTTGATGTAATGAGCTGATTAAACTTGGTAATTTGGATTTTGTGGATTAACACAGCCTGTTGAACATACAGTAGTGCATATATAACCC